GAAGGCACACAGGCGAAACTCTGATAAAAGGCTTGTTGGGTCCTCTCAAGGGTTCTGTGAAACTAAGCTTCAAATCGTAGCGCTAGCTTTTGGGCACGGTACGCCAGCACATCTCACATCACTTCACGCACGCCTTTGGCGGCTTCGCCACAAACTGGCGTGGCCGCAGTCCACCGAACGTCTTCAGCCAATCCACCCTTGATTTAGCTGTAGCAAAAACACCTGCGTCCATGTATGCTTTCATGTGATGGGCAAGTGGTGCGCGAGGAACTTTTTTGATTGCGTGTTCAATATAGCAACCGCATATACGATCAAAGGCTTTGACATTGTAGCTTGTTTTTTCAATGTCCATCTGGTGGAAAGAGTGCTCCAAGAGCTGATGCACATCCTCGCTGCGGTTCGACTCCCATTCAGAAGCTCCGACGATGCTTCTCCTTCTACGGGCTCAGCGTCCGCAGCCTGCTCCTGTGTAGCTTCTGTGGGCTTTGCCTGGGTCCCTTGCCTGAAGGCAGCGATGCCTGGCGGCATTCGTGCGCCGGCAGGTTTACGAATCTAGAAATAACGACATAATGCTTCAACCAATCTAGAACGCAGCACCGTGCGTGCGCCGACTGAACCGGCCTGCGCTCCGCTGCATCGCTGCGCCAACGCCAGTCATAGCTGCATAATGTCTAGATCCGTGAGGTGTTCTCCCTTTCAATCCCCCATGCCTCGCATTGATTGAGCAAGTCCCATGGGCTCAATCGCGCAGCTTGGTTCGGAGTCACATGCTTCTGCTTCGGTGCCATCCCAAGGCTCAGCACAGCAAAATGTAACAATCAGAATTCCATGGCTGATTTCAACGCTGGCAGATTACAAAATACATACTGAATGAACGTGAATACACGCCTCCCTGTCAAGAGAAGATATGGAGGTTCAACATTTGCAGATGGTGGAAGCGGACGATTAATGTTGAACACACATGTAAAACGCCTCCATGACCCTGCTTGATAATGGCGGCAGTTGGCTCCTGGGAACCATCAACAGATGAGCGGATCCAGTCAATGGGTGTGTAGACGTGTAAGCTTGGTGAACATGAGAACCGCACGACTGTTCCAGCTAAGCCTTGTCAGAAAACAGTCCTATCGGTACTGAGTATACGAAAGTATGAATATAGCGACAGATCGGGGCCATAAACTGCCTTGAACGCCGAAGGGCAACGCTTTCCTTTTTGGTTTGGTCCCCGAGTGTCTGCTATTAAAAACACTGCCCGGCTCAAACTTCCGCAGCTCACTGTGGTACCCTCCCGTTCTTACGATCCCTACCTGCCCCTCAACCCTAGGCCCACTATTGAGACGCAGATTCAGGGTATGCAAGACTTGGCGAGGGTTGGAGCTCTGAACAGAATGTGTTCGTGGCATCTCCGGAACGGAACCCCATACACGCGCGCACTTGTAAGGTTTTGGGCTTAGGGTAATCCCTGGACCCGAAGCCCCGTGGGCACATTCCAGCAGAACTGCATAACAGTGCCAATCCCGACATGATTTTCGAAACTTCTCTCAACCAACCCTCCCCCGGGAAAAAAATCACCTTTACCCGTTACCCTGCGCTAAACCCGAAACTGCCTAAACCCCAAACCCAAAACCCTAAACTACATCCGATCTTCAGGGTTTTCGTGTTTAGGACTCGGGGAAACAGGCCCGTGCGCACCGATTAAGGATGGCTTTGATAGCGTTGGCGTTCGCCCTGTTCAGTCGCTCAGACTGGTTGCTTGAAGCCTGGAAATGCTGCGGCAAGGCAATGAAATGTAATATAGTACGATATAGAACGAAATAATGCGAAACCCTACTCCACGCAACACGCGTGTTACTACAACTTTCTCATTCAGGAATTCATGCTGAGCCGAACCAGGAGAATGCCGGGAATGATTGAACCTAAACCGGAACTTGCACCGGTTCAACTCCCTGGAGACCATACCCAACAACCCAAAACCCTTACAGCCTTGAGGCCTTTGCTTTGCTTCGAGGTTTATGGAGATAGAAACACAGACCTGCCAGGAGGTATTTAATAGGCGGGTTTTAGCCATGTGTCTGAGCCTGCAAAGAGCACCGCGGCCCAAAGGTACGGATATGTATGTCAAACACCCTGGGCGCTCCAAGCGCCAGTCCTGCAAGCTACATGCTTCAGTACAACTACAGCCGAGATTTACGTAACCTGAACCCCCACCAATGAACCTTAGACCCTCAAGCCGGGAACCCTAAACGCCTGACTCCTAAACCTAAACCCCCAAAGCTCTAAACCTCTGAACCCCCACACCCTCAAGCCCCTAAACCCCTACACTCGAAACGTCTCCCTACATGGACGCTACAAAAGCTACCTTTTTGAGGACGTACATTTAAAAAACAAAGTAATCAAGAATCCTAACAAAAAATTGGGTTATTCAGGGTTCATTCAGGCCTTAGAGGCCTGGAAGTTCCAAACCCCTAAACCCTAAACCCTAAACCCTAAACCCTAAACCCTAAACCCTAAACCCTGAACCCTAAACCCTCGGAAGAGCAGCATAAGGTCCCTGCGGTGCCGGGGGCAGGGTCTTTGCACGCGGCCTCGACCTTTCCGAAGGGGTTCAGGCGTGAGGGCTTGGGGCCTATGGTTCTGGCTGTAGGCTTGGGGTTTTAGGGTTTGGGGTTTAAAGGTTTAGGGTTTGGGGTTTTCAGGGTTTAGGTTTAGGGTTCGGGTTCTGGGTTTGGGATTTAGGGTTTGGGCCTATGAGTTTAGTAGGTCAGGCACTCTTGCGGAAGACCCCCAATAAGGATGAAGCCCTAAACCCAAGACCCTAGACAACAGGCTCATGCACCCCACCTTCTCGCCGACGCACTCGTCCAAGAAGGTCACCGGCTTGCCAAGGAGCTCCTGTGACAGCCAAGTTTTTGGATCTGTCGGATTCTATCGGGCTCTATAGGGGTTCTATAAGCGTTCAATAAAGGTTCTGTGAGAAAAGGTCTACACAGAGTATCACGGTGCTTCGTGACTAAGGTTATAAAGACGGTGGACTGTACAACTTGCTTATAACCCCGATTATCGAAGAATATCCCCCCGGCAGGCCCTGTATAGTTATAGTGTAATATATACCAAGACCCCAGTCTAATGACTCATGCCCCTGTATAGACCGAAATCCATGTAGAGCGCCGCTGAAACCCTATGAAGCCTTGGGAAACTTATACAACCCTGAACTCTAGCTAACCCTGGAGTCGACGTGGCTGCACTTTTTGGGGGACTTCTGGCAATCGATGCTGCGACGAGGCCCGCCATGTCCTTGGCAAGGTTTAGGGTTTAGGGTCTAGGGTTTAGGGCTTAGGGTTTGCTGTAGAATGGCGCAGAGGCGGAAGCATCTAGCGACAATGCAATTTCCGGTGTATCGCAGTTTGACGATTCGCTGCTGGAGCCCCGACGGTGGAGGGCTCGTCTTTCTCTCCCACCCCACGCCGTCTGAGGCGGCCAAACCACCCAAACCTATTCCTTTCAGGGTTTAGCTCTAGACTCTAAACTCATTCCATGGCTTTGTTTTTCTTTGTTTCAAGCTCGTTCATGCAGCAAGAGACAGAGGGTAGGGCAGGGCAGGGCAGGGCAGGAAATCTGCTCGTTGGAGGCTCCGGGATTTTATGGCCTAGGGTATGGGGTTTAGGGTAGTGACTGTAATGGTGTCGAGGTTGATTTCGGAGCCTGCTCTTTTATACGAGCCCGTTACGAGCCCCTTAAAACGTTGCGAGTTATAAGACCCAGACAAGAAGAACCTGAACATCCGAACTACTCAAACTCTGCATTGATTCCAGGCTTCCTTTTCTTGCTTGCGACCATCAGAAGTCGACGGCAGTAGGGCTGCAAAACTCTAGACAATTTGATCTGAAGCTCTATGCCATGATTTCTTGGGTTCTTGTCAAAAAACTTAGTTTAACTACCATAATCGGTATCTATGATAAGCGATAATGATATGGCGTCTTTTTATTAGGGCAGTTGGAACTAAATTCCGTAATAAGAACCCAGTGGGGTAGCACTGGGTCTCTGACGGAGGGTTCAGGGTTTAGGGTTTAGGGTTCGGGATCTGGCCTCAAGGCAAAATTTAGGATTTAGGGTTTAGGGTTTAGGGTTTAGGGTTTAGGGTTTTATTGCCTGTCTGTTCCTGTAGAAGACTAGTACAGTGTTTAAGGGGCCAAACAGATGGTACCTACACCCTAATCCTAATGATCCTAATGCCTGTGCTCTTAGCCCCAATCCAAAGCCCCAAACCCTAAACCCTAAACCCTAAACCCTAAACCCTAAGCCCTAAGCCCTAAACCCTAAACCCCAAACCCTAAACCCTAGACCCTAAACCCTAAACTCCAAAGTCATGCTTGAGAGTCCAGTAGGTGAGGCGAAGAGAGGACGAACTCGTGCCTCGGAGGCCCACCAGCCTTCCTGCCATGGGCTTTGAGGTTTTAGGGCTTAGGGTTCCGGGCTTCGGCCCCTCAGGGCCTAGTCTGCCGGGTTTAGGGTTTAGGTTTTAGGGTTCAGGGTTTAGGGTTTAGGGTTTAGGGTTTAGCGTTTAGGGTTTAGGGTTTGGGGTTTAGGGTTCAGGGCTAGGTCTGCTGGGTTCAGGGCATTGGGATCCGGGTTTAGGGCTTACGGCATTTCTCATTTTACGCGTAACTTGGTACACTTCTCGATTTTCCGGCTTACCGTTTTCGGACCTGGGGTTGTAGGGTGCAGGGTTTGGGGTTTCGTGTTTAGGGCCTGGGGTGTCGAGTTTGGGACTTAGGGCTTTGGGTTTGATTACGGAGTAGGCTTCAGGGTTTAGGGTGTAGGGCTTCGGGTTTTAGGCGCGAAGCTTTTTTGCTAGTTTCGGCTTCCGAGCCTCGCGCAGTCAGGTCTGTGGGGTCTACCGATTGAAGCTTCGAGTCCTGACTTTACGACAAACTCGGAGTTCTACCCTAAGGCTCCTGGACCTTTGTAGTGAGATCCCAAACCCTAGCCCTCAAAGCCGAAACCCTCCCCCAGAAAGCCCAAGAAGGAGCCTTTTGGTACTTGGTAAAGTCTAGAAAACGACAGCTACACTCTGGCGCTGAGCCCCAAGTAGGGCCCAGCAAAGCACCTAAAGCCAGAATCACGGGTTCAGGATTTAGCGTTTTGGGGTGGTTTATAGTTTATATAGGGCTGTTGGGTTTGGGGCTTGAGATATCCCCTATATAATCCCCTCTTGTACACCGAGAAGGTAGGGATATACCACCCAAGACTTATGCTTTCTGGCTCCCTCACCGGGACGAGACCCTCTCAAGAAGGTCCCTTTTAAGAGAGCCATAAGTAGGGTTGAGAAGGGTCCCCTTGAGGGGCCTCCTTAACACTGGCTACCGGATACACCAACCCTAAACCCTAAGCTTTCCGGCGTTTTCAGAATTTCAGGGTTCTGGCCAGGGGTTTGGGGTTTGTTTGCATCGGATCGGGCTTCGGAGTGCCGGGTATGGGATTTCTTTGCATGGCTTTCGAGGCTTGATGGGCTGAAATACTGCTCCCTAAACCCTAAACCCTAAACCCTAAACCCCTAAACCCTAAACCCCTAAACCCTAAACCTTGAACTCTTCAGCAACAGTTGAATCTGAGACTGGCGACCACCGACTCCTGGAGGGTGCTGGGTTTCAGGTTTAGGCTTTGGGTTTCGCTTTAGAGTTTAGCCAAAAGCCTCCTGACTCCTCACTCCAATCCCGAAGGGAAGAATAAAATCCCCAGTCGTAGAACGACGAACACCCAGTTCTAGAGCCCGGAACCCCAAACCGAGGCCCGAGAGACCATTTGGTGGAGGCCAAATCCAACACTTCGTCGGTGTTGGGATCAAGGAGACCTTCGTCGCGAAGGCTCAACAACTACGGGGTCAAGTTGAAGTGTGTGGGCTTTGATTCTGCAGGATGATTCGATGAAGTTCCAGAGGCTCCATGACTTCTGGGTACAACCACCACGACAAGTGGCAAATTTCATCTGGTATATGTTATATTACCCATATAACACGTTTCAAGTTCATATAACTATCATCGTGATCATTCTCGCAAGTAACCCTTGCAGGGTACTCGGCTTTGTGGCCAGTATCTTGCTGTGAGGAATTTGGGTGTAGGGTTTAGGTATTGCGAGCCCCCCGCAAAGAGAAATCGAGGAGGGAGTCGCAGGCGCAAGCCTACCTCTCCAACCCCTGAGCTCGACACGCCTCTAAGGCTGACTCCGAAAACCGTAGAAACCAATACCCAACAGGGAGACCTGTAGAGCTCCAGAAAAGCCTTGCAATGTCCGTTCAGCACCCTACGCTTCAGCACTTCAGCAACTTCAGCATGACATGACCCAAAGACCCCTCAACTTCGTCCCGCAAAAGGTCCCATCAAACCGCCCAGCCACCTTTCAGCGCCTCGTAGTGGGCCATTGGAGACCACATGTCACCCTCGTCTTTGAAGTGTTGCGGAGTCTTGGTACTGAGTATATGTGGGGGTTTCAGAATATAGGGGACCCTAATATAGTACCCTAAATAGTAGGATCCTCATTATAAGGACCCCCCAAATAGGATACCCTAATTTTCGGAACTCCCATGTATGCATGGGTGGATGGATGTAGGTGGATGGGTGGATGCATACATGACGTCGTCAGAAACTACCCTAGGCTGCTCAAGAGTGGCCCGAGGTCTACTTTGCGCTTGGAGCTTCTGGTTGCGGGTCCGCCCTTCTCAAAAAAAGACATAGAATACAAAATGCGCGAGATCCCGTCGTCCTAAACCTTAAACCCCACACCCTACACCCTAAACCTGAAACCCTACACCCTAAACCCTAAACCCTTAACCCCTAAACCCTACCTGGACCCTAAAGAACCTCCCTCTTTAGGGTTCCTGATTATGATTTCCTTATATAAGTCCTTNNCCTAAACCCTAAACCGAAAGCCCGGCCTTCGTGAAGAGTGCCGAGATCCGGGGGCGCGGGGCTCGCCGAAGGATGGCCGCGAACTCTTCGAAGCCTTGACCTCCCGTTTTACGGTTTTAGGGGGTGTAGGGCTTAGGGCTTAGAGGGTTTAGGGTCTAGGGTGTAGGGTTTAGGGGTTTAGGGGGCTTAGGGTTTAGGGTTTGGGAGCGAGGCTTTAGGTTTCTGGGGGTTAGGGTTTTAGGGTTTTGGGGTGAGGGTTTAAGGTTCGGGGTTTAGGGTTTCGGTTTCGGATGTTCGGGTTTAAGGTTTGCTTTAGGATTTGGTGGTTAAGGGTTTGGGGTGTAGGGGTGAGGAGTGTATATAGGGCTCTTTCTGAACATCGGTGAGTGTATATCCATGGCCTTATTGTGGGGCTACAAGAAGAACGATAACACCACATCATCTGAAGTTTAAATGGTTGTGTCGCGGCTGCAGGCTACAAGAGCTGGCACCCCCGTAGATAGTGCTAACTAGGACACGCTGGATTAGGTACAGTACACTTCCGGAACTTGAATTTGGGACTTCGGTGTCGGGCATCACTTCGGGCATTTAAGCAGCTAGGCCTTGGAACCACAGCCGGAACCGTTTAGACTCTGAGTGATTTGAGGCTTTCTTTCTGAGGCACAGCTCCTCTTAAAACTTCTGTCTTGAAACATGTAGGCCCAATGACGCCGGAGTGCAGGTGATGAAAGATGCCTTTTAAAGCGTCCCAGAAAGGATGTTACCGTATAGTTACAACCCACGGCCTCGGATCGCAGGGTCCAGACGGGGACACTCTGTGCGAAGGAGCCCCGTGACCATGGACCTTCACGACGTAGGGCAGATACTTTTTGGCTTGAAGGATTTTTGGATTCTAAATCTTTTGGATTTAAAGCTATTTTTGTGTTTAAGGTTTTGGGAGCTGGGGTTCTGGGCGTCAGGGCTCAAGGCTTAAGGCTCAAAGCTCAGGGTTTACGGCTTAGGGCTTAGGCTTTGGGATTCACGGTGTAGATTGTTGGGTGTAAGCTTTAAAGACGATTGTAAGTCCTGTTCGACGGAGTGGCCCTTGGGAATACCGTTGCCCATGACTGAAACCCGGGCTCAACAGCGAGCCTGGCAAAAGGCTATTTGGGGGACATGCATGTGGAATAGCTGAATAGCTATACCAAGAGGGTTTGAACAACTATGGAACCCGAATGTGAGCCCTGAGCCCAAAGTATCACCCCGACAGTCCCGAACAAGGAACCCCTCAGTTTGAAAAACCTCGTTTACCAATCTGGCGCTTCGGTGTTACGGCTAGAGTCAGCTTTGGATCTACCGTCGTGAGTCTACAAAACAGAATAGTTAGAAACACTAGTCGTTACGGTTTTGCTGAAATAGATAAAAGATACACATGAATGTTATGTGTGTGTGTATGTGAGTTAACTGCTGGCACGGTGAATGGGAAAAAATTTGCACCATGTTGCTGTAGAGACAGAGAGAAAAACAAACGGAGAGAAAGAGAGAGAAAAAAGATACAGGGACAGGAGACAGGGAGAGAGAGATAGAGATTACAAAAGAGAACAACGATGTACAACTACAATAATTAGCAAGCACGAAAATGATGAAATAGAAGATAGAGAAATAGAGAGAGAGAGAAACCGACGGACATTCGGCAGTCTTTGTCGCGAAACCTCCGCGCAGCTTACATCCAAAGCACTAGATATACCTATAGACTAGACGATGCAGCACGCTGGTGGTTCGCAGCGTGTCATGCTTGGTTGGTATCAAAAGAAGAAAACGCATAAGGCACTCAAGCGCTCAAACGCATGGGCATGCTCTACAAGAACTGTCGGCATAGGTTTCAACGGCTGCTGAAGGACAGTAGACCCGACATACGCCGGTTGCAAGCCCTTCAATGATTTGGTTTGAGATCTCATCGTGACATCACTGTCCTCAAACTCGCACTTCCTACAGGAAAAACTATCTGAACACGAATCGTAGGAGTGCTTCTGCAGAAAAGAAGAAAACCGCACCCGAATGTGTCATCTCAGCTCAACCATGAAACCCTTCGAGAGAACATGCTGCAGGTTTTACGGGCTCGTCAAGACGAAGACGGATCAAAGGCAGAAGTCGTTGAAAGACAGTCATGGCTTGAATGCAAAGATATGATTGACTATGCGTAAATGTCTAGCTGATCTGGCGGTGAATCTGCTCGATGCCGAGGTCATGTTCCTCGTTGTCTTCAGTATTTCTCATCGGAACAGCAGGTTGCGAAGCCGCGCAGGTCAGGTGGATGTCGTCGCGTCGTTAAAAAGTCGTCGTCGCAACAACGAAAGTCGCGTCGTCGTCGTAAACGACTCTACCTCTTCCTCAACGTCATCTCCCCAGTACAGCAATGACAACACTATGGTGAACGATGGAAACTATTGCAAAGCAACGGCTGATGCAAGCACTGCACTCTTTACCGACAAGCCATCACATCCAGTTCACTGCTTCTACCTGACTGCCCGACAAGAACGTCCAAGACACCAACGAAGTCCTTCAAAAGGCTAACTACACCTCGCGGACCTGGTATGATGCATCTGCCACCCGGCAAGACTTTTTGCTCATGAAGACGGGACGCCCGGTGCACCCAAACCGGTGAGAACTCCAACGAATCCAACGCACCTCGAACCCCAAATGCCGAGAAACCCTAAACTGCACGAGTCTTAGACCGCAAGCCTGAAGCTCGCAAACCCCAAACAAAACACACCGAATCTGAATCCCTATACCCTATACCCTAAACTCAGTTAGACCCTGAAACACTCTAGAACCTGCGGAGGCCAACGGAAAACTCACCAAAAAGCTGTGCAATCATGCCTGCCGCTGACGTGCCCCTAAACAAAATACGGAAAGCCCATGAGGCGAACAACACTTGAAGATACCACTCAAATCGCAGAACGTACCAGCATCCCAAAATTCAAGCAGATTGGGTTCAGGAGTAAGTGGTAGTAAGTATATTTACGGACTCTGAGGAACAACCCATTGATTCAGAGCGCAGGGCTTGGAGTTTCGGGCTTAGGGACTTAAGTTTCAGGGTTTAGGGTTTAGGGTTCAGGCTTTAGGGTTTGGGGCTTGGGGTTTGGGGTTTGGGGTTTAGGGTTTAGGAGATTCGGGTAAGGTTCAAGGTGTAGCATGAAAGAAATGGAAGGTTGAGGACGTAGCCCAGCTCAGGGGAGATGGGAATATCCGACCGGGAGGATAATCCGCCTGAAGAAGACCCGATCTCCAACCCTAAACCCTAAACCCNNCTAAACCCTAAGCCCTAAACCTAGGATACACAGTCTCAGTCGCAAGCCCCCGGAATGTGCACACGTTCAGTTCTATAGAGCCTGATCTTATCCCAAAAAGTTTAATGCACGTGTCTAGCTACCCTAAACCTTAAGCCCTAAAC